TGCGAAATAACGTTTATAGCTAGCATAGTCACTTAGGTAGGAATCTAAGCTTATGACGCTTAGAAGAGAATTAAAACCAAAACTCAGCATGCATACACCTGAGATTTGAAATAAATTAAGAGCAACGGAAGAATTTTCAAGATTTGCAATGATACAATGATGCAGAGGGCCTTAGCGAAATTTATCAAGGATGCTAGATAAACCAATGTTGCCTAAGTAATACATAATACAATCCTCAATAATTATAGTAGGCGCTAGCCTGCAAAATAGGCTATGAAATTCATACATTGGCATTATAACTTATAATTTCATGATATAAGAGCAATTAGAGATAAATCTTAAGATAATGTCTAGCAAAGTGGCATTTGGCATAAAAGCAAAAATGAAAACAATGTTAACTAACCCCACAACAACAGGATTCATGTCTATATCTACATATGGAGCTGCCGTTGCATAGTCCCAGAAGATAAGACCACCATAACGATGAACGAGAATAGAAATCTCATTTACATCAACCATAATGCCTGTTATGTTTGATGCAGCAGCCATGCAAACAACGAGGGGCCTACCTTCCAGTTCGGCTTCTTTAGATGTGGCCTAAGTTATTAGAAAAAATTAATTTGTACTTTAAGTATTTCTTCCAAGTGGGCAATAGATACTTGTCCAACAGAATCGATTTCGATTCGTAGAGTTTTCTTAGCTAAATGTCGCCATGGAAGACAATTAGAATGATGCTCAAAGGGACCGATGATTACAATCTAAAAGTAAATAAAACAGTAGTTTACTGGTGGGGTTTCCAGATTAAGGTTGTGAACAAGCTTATGTATGGCTCCAGTGGAACCACTGCCGACGAAGATAACAGCGTCGTGATCGTTAGCGCGAACAGCATTTCTGATAATATCTTTAGCTTCGTGTCTAAAGAGCGTTGTTTGTAATGCTGTAACACTTGTCGTAGTGTGTGTGTTGCCATATTCTGGAAGTACTTCGTTGTAGATAAAATCCTCGATGAAGGAAAGGGATCTTCCAGATGCCGTGTAATCACAATACACAACTAATCTATACGGTACAAACTTGAAATACCTTTCCTTTCTCCAAACGGTCCGCAGAATGTGATGTTCTTTCCTATTATATTTTCTCTTATATAACTAAATAAATTAAATGGGTGATTAGATTCTTTTTGGCCATGCGCCGACGTCTCTGATGGTGTGCCCAAAGTAAAACTAGGCCGATATGTCAATGCATTTGAATCATTCAATTCTGGTTTATCTGGAAGTGAGTAAAATATTCGATGTCCTGAGGACGAATTTCGACTCGGAGGAGACTGGTACGCAGACATGGAGATAGGGAGAAGAAGGAAGCGGTGGGTGGAACGACAGTAGGAGTGTGAATCCACTTTCGATCGATTAAAATCAGCTAGTATATATATATATTTAAATTAGACCTATTTTATAAATGAATGCATTATGAGCTAAAATTAATTATTTTACAAATTTGTCTGAGTTTCTATAGTAAAGTGTAAAGACGATTACCTTGTTAACGCATAGATTTATATCTCGGATTATCTTCAATTCAAAATACTTTCCAATTAAACTCAAAATAAAACATTTATCATGCTAGAAAGTACTTTTTAGACACGTATTTCAAATCTAAGGCACTACTAATATATTTATTACTGCAAGTGCTATTATTGCAGATTATTCTCATTTGCAACAATTAAAAGAATACACATCTGTATCTTCATTTGCGATATTATTTTTCTTGTTAACACGCAGGCTGTTTTATTGCAGTAATTTTTAATCGTTCTCTTTCCTTTATCTTTCTCATGAGTTCAAGAACTTATCATTAAGTAAAAGTCAATTATAAGCAATCTTGCATAATAGTAAGCAACCTAAGTACATTCAGCAGGACTAAACGAAGTGTGTATAATTATTTATTTTCGTAAGAAAGTAGGGTTTCGAGACTACCAGTAAATCATTGTAATGAGATGTATTCACCCTATT